AGTCCTGCTCTGGGAGGGGGATAGGTCCCAGACAGTGGCTCAGTCACCCTTCACAGGTGAGAGGGCTTGACTCTATATCCCTCTCTGAGGAGAGGGCTGAGGGGACTTCATTAGAAAATGGCCACCAGTTCATTCTGCATAGGAGCTACAAACAGCCGGCAAGCGGTAACAACTTTGTTATTACCGACCTGGGCTGCATTGACCTCGCTGTGCAAGACTCTGTCCTACACACCATTCCTCCAGGGCTCTTCATAACCAAACCCTACAGCACAAGGAGGACAGCTAGTATTGGTGTGGATAGAGGAGGCTCCTCTCCTGCTGTAGTCCAAACCCACGACAGTTGTGTTTAGGTGTTTCCATAATCTGTCTCTCTAAAGCACTTTGGTGCAGTAGCAGGGCATTTAGGGATGCAGGGCAGGCAAATGGGGGCAGCTGTCCTCACCTGTAAGTTGCAGGAGGGCTGGCTCTTGCGCGACAAGCCAATGTTATCTTCTCTTCTGTGGAGCCTTCAGGAAAGAGGATGTTGACTGGCTGATCTTCAAAGATTGGCCCATAGTTCCTTATGGTACCGTGGGCCGGGCACCGTCCTGCGAGGGAGCAGCATGAGAGAAATCCTGCTGAGCTCAGCTCCTCCAGGAGAGGTTGTGGAACAAACTTTGGTCAAACCGTTTTTAAAAGGGACACAAGTGCAGCTAGAGAGGGAGGCCTATCCCAGAATCCCACAGCCAAGTCCCCTTGGATTTTGAAGAGTTCAGTTCCAGGTCAGAACTTTGCCTCATCTCTAGTTCAGAGGTTGGGTTTTTCCTACCGACTTAATTTCTGGTTTCACATTTTTTCCCCTGATAGGAGGGGAAGTACCATGCTAACTAAAAGCCATGGCAACCTGAAAACCCCATCCATTGGTCAGCATGGCCCAACCAAAATCTAGCCCTGCCGTTGGGAGGTTTATATTCTGACATGTATGGGCCCCTGACACCATCTTTTCACTCTCCCTCTGCCAGCGCTGTTTGGGAGTGGGCAGCAGGACTTAGGAAACAACAAATGGTTAAGGCGGTTGGATTAGCAGGCAAAGAGCAGTAATGAAAGGGTAATGCAGAGGTAGCATGGAGCAGTGGACTGGCCACAGGAGTAGGAGCTGGGTATCCCTGGGTATCTCTACACTACCCCGCTAGTGGAACGAGGAGTACAGCTAGTTCGGATTAAAAGCCTAATCCGAACTAGCTACTCCGTGCTGCGTGTAGCCGCGCGGCATGGGGTTCGAACTAGCCGGCATTTAAAAATGGCGCCGGCCAGCTTCATGCAAATGAAGCCCGGGAAATTCAAATCCCGGGCTTCATTTGCAACTGCGGATGACTACATTACCCCCGCTAGTTCAAACTAGCGGGGTAGTGTAGACATACCCCCTGAGTTTTATTCTTGGCTCTGACACTGCCAAGTTCAGCTTTGTGATGGCAACTTACATCCTGATATTGTCATCTGAACATCACCTAATTAATTCCTCCAATTCGCCCTCTGCCCGAGAAGTAGGTAGGTAGGAGTGTTAGGCAGGAGTTAGATTGGAGAACATGATTCTGTCCTGCCTCCCTTTCGGGCTCGGGGGTAAATCATCTCATCCCAGTGTCACCACCTCTTTCTGGACCTGGAAACCCTCCTTTCCCAGCCGCCATGCAAAGTCACTGAACACGCAGTCATGGTTAGATCTGTTTTGCCTACCAGCAGGGGGTGAGTGCCAGGGTTGCTTGGCAGCGTTCAGATGTGATGGGCTGGATTCTGATCTCACAGCTGCATACATTGGGAGCAGATCTTACCAATGGAGTTACCCCACCATAAAAAACTGGGTGAGATCAAAATCAAGCCATTTGCTCAGTGGAAATAAAGTGTGGGCAGTTTGTGATTTTGTGATCTGCATCAAGGACTGGACAGTTGAATATGAAGCAGTCAATCAGAGGACTGCTGCTTGAGTGGGGCTGAGTCCACAGATGGTCTAGAAATGCAGGGCTGGATTTTTAAAGGTAAAGATTTTTACAGATGCAGTTAGCGGCCTATTGAAATGAAGGAGTTAGCCACGTGTAGGTACTTTTGAAAACCTCACTAGGCACCTATTAGTATCTTTAGACACCCAAAAAACTTTAAAAGTTCTATGGTGGTTCATAAGATAGGTAGGTCTAGTGAGATGTTACTGGTGTAGCCATAGTGTTTGCCTTCCAGGGGAAAGGTTCTTGGGTCAGCACTTGAATCTTCATGCTTTGCTCCCTTTCCCTTGTATAAAGCAATGCCACCTGACTTGATTTCTGCTAGCTGCCCCTCTTCCTTTCCATTCACCTCTTTGTTTCATAATGGAGAAGGGGCCTTCTCGATTTGATTTACTGTAAGTCTCACAAATGCTTCTATATCTGGTTTTGCCTGTTTGATTTTCCCTTTGATATTTACATACCTTCTGCTTCTTGTTTCCTCCCCCTCCCCTCCTTTCTCCCCTATTTATTTTGTGTCTGGACATCCCAAACTCAAAACTCCAGTCATCTGAAGAAGTGAGCTGTGCCCATGAAAGCTCATGATACCATCTACATGTTTTGTTAGCCTATAAAGTGCTACCAGACCATTTGTTGTTGTTTTTTAAGTTTATCCTGTACAGACTAACTCGGCTGCCCCCTGAAGCTTCTATATTCAGAGACTGAGTGTGGCCTAACTGGAGAGGGAGTTGCACTGGGAATCAGTGTTTTTTGTTTCTGGCTCTGGGCAAGTCACGTCACTGGTCTGGGCCTCAGTTTCCCCTTCTGCAAAATGGAAGGGAGGTCTCTTACCCACCGTGGCTGAAAAGTGCAAAGCATTATGTCATCAGCAAGACTGAGGAATTTGACCTTGCTCTCAAGACAAATGGAAACGCTGACAGAGTCTCCCTCCTGGGCGCACATCATAAAAATGGTCATCTAAATACTATGAATAATACAAATCAGCCTGTGATGCATAACGGCAAAAGCAGCTGGTGAGGGCACAACCATCAGTGTTGTTTTCCCCCTCATTGTCACCATTCCACCAGCTGAACCAGACAGTGAGCGCCTCAGTGTGAGGCCCATCTGCCCCAAACTGATAAGCCAGGGAAAGCTCCCACCCCACCGAGATCAGGATGTGATTGGCGGAAGCTCCTTGAGGGCTTTGTAGTTGAATTAATAACTCTCTTATGCTATCTTGCCAGCCGTCAGGCTGTCTCCTTCTCTGCAGGATGCAGCAGGACCACCGATCCAATGAAGCGCCTCTGATAAGTGTCATGTTTTATGCAAGAGTGAATTTCAGCTGAGAAATACCCAGCAGGCCTCCTCTGGGTCTGCACGCCCTTTACCTGTGGTTCAGAGGGTTCTTGTTTGTTGTCCCGGCTACCATGGCATATAGGGATGGGAGCAAGAGGGGAGAGGAACGCCGCTAATTGGCTAAGCCCTTTCTGAACAGCTGGCTGCTTACTGCTGTGCCTGCCGACTGGTGCCTGGATATTATCCAATTAGCTGAGTCCTCCCACTGAGCCCCCGTACCGTGCTGGGGCATCCGACTGCAAATGAGCTGGACTCAAACTGACCCTTTGTGGGGGACTGGGTATCGGTGGCCAAACACACAAGGACAGGTTGACTTGTGTGAACCCCCCCCGCCCATGTAACTTACAATGGTAGTAGCCCCACTGGCATCACAATCTGTCCCAGAGGTGAGGAAATTGGGTATTATGGGACTTCATAGCCCCTTCCCAAATCTATGCAGATGCCCCCATTTTGCTGTTGGAATAGCCCCCTCCAGAAGCCGGGAATCTCTCCTCCTGGCTTTGCCAGTAGCAGACTTGCTGAGCTGCTCTCGACTGGAAATTGCTCTATGCTGGTCAGCGGATAAAATAATCAGGGTTAAAGGCAGAATTAGTAAGACTGCTGCGTGTTAATACATTTCAATAGTAAAAAGCCAATGTACTGAGGCTTAACAAGTACGCAGCCGGATTTCCATTTAAGTCATTAGAATTTAAGTAATGAATGGCAAATGATTTCTATATATTTCTCGTTGAAAAGTCATGTTGTTAATGCTCAGATGCATTGTTCTGTGTCTAGGTGCTGCTTCCTAAGCTACAAAAGCCAAGCCTGGCTAATCTTTCCTTTTAATGCCACCCAAACATTGTTGCTATCCTCTACTGCCCTTCTCAGTGGTGGTCTGCAATGCTCAGGCATTGATTTTCTATATTGGAAGAGTGCATGAAGTTCAGACAAGGTGGTGTCCATGATTCCCACGTGTCTGGGAGATATGACCAGATCTCACTTGTTCAGCAATATGAGCAGATCAAGGTTAAAGGTGTTAACGCTCTCGCTGGGTTGGGGTGAAGGGATCGGCACCCAGGAAGACAGATAATTCTTTAAAAAAATCATCTACATGCTCTGTTAGTCTCTAAGGTGCTGCTAGACTATTTGTTGTTTTTTAAAGTTTTTCCCGTTACAAACTTACTCGGCTGGCTCTCTGAAAAACATTCTAAGTCTGCTGGAGCCAGGTTGACTCTATCGTAGGACCCTGGGCAAGCCACTTCACCTTCGACCTGTCGCTTTTGAAACCTCGCTCTGTGGGACAAGGTCCTCTTATCACAACAGCAGGAGGTTGCATCGCTGGGTCATGAGATCCAGATGCAAATTTTCAAAAGCCCCAAGGATATTTTGAGGCACAATCATGTCCTGCCAAATTAGTTCACAGGAAGCAGGATGACCCAGTCAAAATTGGGACTGTCCCATGAAAAATGGGACAGCTGCTCCCTTACTTGACCTCTCAACTTGGTGCCCTAGGCCATACAGCTGGTGGAAGGGGGCAAGAAAAACTGTATCTCAAATGCTGCCTTTGAGCAAAGTGGATCTCACTTGAGGAAATAAATCCGACAGAATAAACAGGAAAAAGATGAAAACTAGAGCACCCAGATAATCGCGCGGTCTGGAAAAACAGCGGCAGAAATACTTAGAGATTCAACTTTTTTAGGACTTGTGTTGTGGCTCCGAGTGTGAAATATTACACCACAGGCCTAGCCACCTCTATCAATATCACAAAGCTACATTGTGTATTATGGAAACAGACAAAACTATGGCCTCCAACTCCTTTTCCACTGCAGTGAGCAGGGAGGGGCCTGCACCAAACCCATCCTGTGTAGCAGAACTAGCTGATTTCTGCCCGTTTGATTTTTCTTCTTGTTGCTCAGACCATGCTGAATGCCAGATCTGGAAAGACCAGCTGTCTGGGAGGTTAGATTCTTTGGCCCTGCGCACAGTAAAGGGGGGAATAGGAAGACAGCGTCAATGCTGCAGTCGGGCTATCCAATTCAAAGTTGCGTCAGCAGCAATTATAAAGCACAGACAGCTTCTATGCCTTGCTTTATGGCATGCCCCCAGCCAGAAGCCTGGCGTGTGAGAGAGCTGGGAAACAAATTGGTTTTACAGCAAATGTGACCAGGCAGACTAAACCAAAATCCAAAGCAGTGACTTGTAAAGAGAAGCTTTCTTGTGGGAGCAAGTGCACACAGCTCTGGTTAGTAACAGACTTCATGCATTTTCTAAGGTTTCTTTTCAGCGATGAGAAGCAGGGATATTTTTAGACTCCCAGTAATATTTTGCACTCTGGTAACGCAGTTCATCAGAGATTTTTCTCTGCGTGTTACAAGCTTGTAATCTTCTCGGCACTCAAGTGAGGCCCTTACCCTCATGTGACCGATTTTCAGGGAGGGGACGTGACTTGCCTGGGTCCCAAGGCTGCCAGCAGCAGAGCTGGGAAGAGAACCCAGGAGTCCTGAATTCCCTGTGGGCTCCATTGGAGGGGTTTCACCATGAGGTGCTAGTCCCCTCTCTTAGTTATGGGGATCCGTTGCATCAAAAGTTTCAAGGTCACTAGAGAAGATCCCCTTTGAGTTTTCTAGTGCCTCATTCTTTCTAGCCCTTGCCCGAGTACAGGTGGGCTACGTCTACACTGGCATGATTTTCTGGAAATGCTTTTAACGGAAAAGTTTTCAGTTAAAAGCATTTTCGGAAAAGCGCATCTAGACTGGCAGGACGCTTTTCCGGAAAAGCGCTTTTCCTGGAAAAGTGTCCATGGCCAATCTAGACGCGCTTTTCCGCAAAAAAGCCCCGATCGTCATTTTCACGATCGGGGCTTTTTTGCGGAAAACAGTACTGTGCTGTCTACACTGGCCCTTTTCCGGAACAGTTTTCCGGAAAAAGATTTTTGCCCGAACGGGAGCAGCATAGTTTTTCCGGAAAAGCACTGATGATTTTACATTAGATCGTCAGTGCTTTTCCGGAAATTCAAGCGGCCAGTGTAGACAGCTGGCAAGTTTTTCCGGAAAAGCGGCTGATTTTCCGGAATAACTTGCCAGTGTAGACACAGCCATGAAGTCTCACAAACGCAGCTAGTTAAGGGTGAGAACCCAGCCCTGTCTTGCTGGGTCCACCATATTTGGGTCAGACATATTTTGGAATAGCCTCCTGATCTAGGTCAGCCCTGCCCCGCCCGAGGGACCCAGAGGATGTTAAAAGGTCATTAGATATTTATAAAGGACAGCAGAGCAGCCTCTCCCCGGGCAGATGAATGATCTCAAAGGCATGATCTAATTCTCAAATGTCTGAAGGAACCATCTCCCTGCTGAGAGGATGTCCCTTTAAAGCACAGCCTGAAATGCCTTGAGATCAAGGAGACGATGGAAAACACCTCCCTGGAAAAGCAGCCAACAGAGGCGGCTGGGCCAACAGTGCGATTGGCCGCTGCGGTGACAGTCACACCTATGCAGGAGGCCAGAACAAATCTACGCTCCACTTGCTAAAGTGGGATGTAAGTGTTGCATAAGGATTTCACAGCGGGCAGCCCGTTTGCAGTGTGCTGTACGTTCCCTCCCCGCTCCCAGATGGGTGCAATCGGACCTTCAGCGTGAAAGCCATGCTCCTGAGCTGTATAAATGCCTCCCAAGATGCAGCCACAAGCCATGTGAGAGCCACGTGCCGAACACGTGATTCGTGCTAGATGAGCCCTTTCAGGTGAACCCCAAATAATTCCAGGTGGGAAAGGAGCCAAACAACCTAGCTGGTTCCCCAGCCAGTGTGTTTCTGCTACTCGTCAGTCAGTACCTCCACTAGGCATGCACTCCCAGGCTGAGGGGCTACCTCTTACCTGTAAAGGTGATGATGGCTAATGACACGAAAACCAATTCCATGGGAGCTCCCATCCTGTGCCTCTAGGGTGAGGATTGTCTTTACTGAGGAACAGAGACAGGGACCCTGAAAGGGAAGGAAAAGTAGATTTATTCCCAGCAACTGGGCAGGCCAATTTCCCACTGGCTGTCTCTCTGGTGTGGAGCATTCCCTATGAGGAGTGTCCTTCTGCGTGATGAAGAACCATTTTCCCTCTCGGATGACCCTGTAGTTTGGAAAATCACCCCCGCCCCCCGTCTCTACCCTTAAACACACGCGCTCTGTCTCTGTCTCCCAAAAGAAAAAAATTACTTAGATTCTTCAGGTTTTTCTCAAAACACCAAAAATATTCAGGTTTGGAGGGGGAGGTGCACAAAAATTAATTTGGTGAAAATTCATTTTTTGGTGAAAAATCCATGAAAACCAAAATCCAACCCGAAACCAAAAAATCAAGCAAACCACTTCTGATCAGCTCTGCCTCTGGGCACTGCTACTAACCTGAACATTTCCCATTCAGATCCCCTCTCAATTTATTTCTCTCTCCTTAGCCTCATGGGCAGGCCGTGCCTTGCCGCGTGGTCCACAGATGAGCCAAAGGAAGCAGGCAGGAAGGGTCCAGCGCAGAACTCTGGCCAGTCAGGGAAGGAGCCAGTGAGGAGGCGGCTTGCTGGAGGCAGCCCTGCTTATAAGGCACTGCTCGGCCAAGCAGGGAGCAGTGGAGTCCTGACCAGGGCTAGTTCCCAGGGAGAAGCACCTTTGAAGGAGCCGTGCTGGGCAGGGGCAGAGGAGCAGGAGGGAGGCTCCAGCCTGATACCTGCCAGGCTGCAGGCTTCGATCTAACGGCTAGGAGGGTGCCGGGGTCACAGGGAACAGGAGGCTGTAGAGGGCGAGTGAAGGAGGGCAGGACAAGGCTGCCACCAGAGGGTCCCTGGTCTGGGACCCAGAGATGTGGGGGGTCCCCTCCATTGCCCTTGCACCGCACCTTGCCACACTCGGGTGGCCTTTATAGACTGTGGCTTGCTGCTGCAGGGAGGTTGCAGTGGATCACAGTAGCAGGTGCAAGGCTGTGGGTTGCTGATACCCCCAGAAGGGGGGCAAGAGACCAGGGTGGTGGGCACTGCCAGAGGGTAGTGTCCTCAACAGGACACCGTCATCCTTGGAGCAGCACGGATCCAGAGCAGAGCGTGGAGCAGCAATGAGTGAGACACCGGCCAGAACAGGGATGTGAGTGAGTAGCTGACTAAGCATAAGCTTCTCGGGTAGTTGAACGGAGTTCTAAACTACTCGCTTCCCCCGCCTCTTTCTGCCTCTGTATGACAGGCAGAAAAGCGGGGGAGGAAACAGGAGCTGGTGCTGGGGGGAGCCGACTTAAAAGCTGGTTCCCCCCCCCACTGTCTCCGTGGTGCCGCCTGCTCCCCCTAACCACGCTGCTGCCTCTATCAGAAGCAGCAAGGGGGGGAAGGGGCGGCTGTTGCCAAAGCAGCCCCTGCCCTCAGCCAGCCCAGGCCACCGTGAAGAGGGACGACTGGACCTGGCATGAGCTAGGAAAGAGCAGTATGGAGTAAGAGCCCAGTGGTTCTTACTACATTTAAAATGCAGAGGCGCAGCAGTCCAGAGCTGCCACGAGCTAGGACTCCTCAGTCCCAGCTCCAGTCGGCTCGTGCTGTGGCTCTGTGGAGGTGATACAATTTGCAGTTTAACATCCGTAGGTCTGAAGGGGGCTGTGTCCTGAGAACAGTTAATTCCCAGTGGAACCAGCAGGAGGCGCCGTGAAATTCTGTCCCCAGGGACAGAGACCAAGTGGACATGGAGCTTGTGCCTGGTGGAATGTGTGTGAATCAGCCTGTGAACTGTGTCCTGTGTCCCTTTGGGCTGGGGCGGGGGGGGGGGGGGAATGGACCAGCTCATTTATCAAAGCGAGTGGGGTACTACGAGATGGAGCAGTTGAGCTGTCATGCTCGGTGGTGACATTTTAGGGAGTCTTCCTAGAGGCTTTGCTGCAACCTACTTGATCTTGTATTTCTCTGCAGTGAAGCCTGTGAGTAGTTAAAACAGGAGGCATGGGAGCTCTGGGGCATTTGCTGATGCAGTGATGGTGTTTGTGGCTGCAGCAGTCTTCAAAGCACACTCCCTCTTTCCCACCTTCTCCATGGGGTCAAAAAAGCCTGCAGCAGCGTCTTACCTCCTCCTGCTGCAACATTCCCCTGAGCCCACTGCGCACACCTGGCAATCTCCGAGTCTTGCTGCTTGTGCATCATTTTGAACTAGATTTGCCACCTGACCAGCTTCAATTGGCTTGGCCATTTCCCTTTCACAAGAACACTGAAGCTGCGCTCATTTCCTTTTCCCTCTTAACAAAAATGACTTTTAAAAAACCACATTCAGGGGCTTGCTCCTTAGTCCAGTATGCTTGGGGGAGCCTCTTAAAGTGAACCCCAAATAGACCCGTATCGAAACCACTCCACAATGGGGAGGCAGCTGCTTTGCTGTGATTGCTGCTTATCCACCATTCATTGCGCTATCGCTTTCCCCTGGTGATCCCTATGTCCTCTGCACCCACCTACTCTCTCCTCTTAGACTGGAAGGTCTCTTTGTTATGTTTGTCCAGTGCCCTGTACTGTGGAGTCTTTGGCTTAGAGGCACTGCTGCTGCACGAATAGATAATTGAAACACACGTGCCTGATTACATAGCTGGTTCCACAGCAATGTTCCCTCTAATCTTTTCCATGCATGTGTGGGATAAATTTTATGGGCACTGAGGCATGTGTGAATGTGCATCACCAATAGAAACAAAAAACCTAGCTCTGGACACTCTGCTAATCAGCTGAGCGGCATTGGAAACCCTCCTGAACAGTTGCACAAGCGCCTGGCTTACAGGAAACGCTGTTGCCTGGGTATATCTGCCCGTGTGATTTACAGGGTGGGAAGAAGATCTCTCTCATGCCACACACACATACCTGGGATTTGAAAAACCCCTTCCATTCTTTCTGCTTCTTACCTCCTCCCCAGGATGAACAGTCTATGCTATTTGAGCTTGGGGAAGAGAAGATTGGATCCAGATGTAAACTGTCCCAGTGTTCTGGAGAGCTGGGATAGAAGGGTTTGGATCAGACCTTTGCTTTTGATGATGTGTGAAACTTATGAAAGTCCACAGCGATTGTGCCATTGCATACTGGTGGTGATGTCTGTGTTAAGGCGATGCCTGGAATCCCCAACCAAGACAGGAGCATGAGGGCGTGGTAGGTGTTGTACAGATCCCTAGTAAGAGATAGTTCCTACCCCAATGAGCTTAGAGTCTAAATAGACAAGACTGACAAAGGGTGGGAATAGTAATAGAGAGGTAGCCGTGTTAGTCTGATTTTGCTAAAACAAAAGGAAAAACTATGTAGCACTTTAAAGCAGTGTTGTCTTCAAGTCATCATTGTCAAGTCCAAGTTGAGTCTCAAGTCGAGTCTCGAGTCCCTAAAGTCACTTTCGAGTCAAGTCCCAAGTCGAGTCTCAAGTCTTAATTTAAAAAATGTCAAGTCACTTTTGTACAAGCCATCAATATCGGCATTTTTGGACAATTTTTTCACCAAGTCGATTTAACAAAATTGTCGAGTCTCGAGTCACAAACAATGAACCCGAGTCAAGTCTTAAGTCGAGTCACCTAGGCTTTCGTGGGCCAGACCCACTTCCTCAGACTCATTATCCCTGTTTTACGGATGGGGTCTTGAGACACAGAGCGATTAAGGGTCTGAGTCTCATATATCAAAGTTGCTGTAGGACACTCTTGTGGAATTCAGCCTCGCTGTAAATGAGACTCAAGCCCCGCAGTGTCGTGCGGAGACACCTTTGCTGACCAGGGCTTCCCTTGTACTGCCCGACTGACCTGTTTGCATCTTGTCGTAAGTGCCATAGGGTGGGGAACATCTCTTTGTTCTGTGTCTATACAGTGCCTAGCATGGCAGGGTCCAGGTTGATGCCGAGGCCTCTTAGGCGCTATGGTAACTCGTATCATTATTATAACATGCGACACTCCTGCGTCCCATAGATCAGTGTGACTCACCTGGTGGGTCTCAAAGGGCAATTAGAGGAGCCATGAGATGGTGGCGGTTTTATTATAATGTACAGCAAAGAAGATCTCATTCCCCGTGCAGGCCAAGTACTCTCAATCAGCTCTCCAAACATGCACACACGAATTATCTGGGCTGTGCACTGATACGTATTTTACTCTTATGATTAGAATACATGGAAGGACGTCGCAAAAATATTGACTTTCAATAAGGAGTGCCTCCAACCTGAAAAAGCTGAGAAACGCTTGCCTAGAGCTCTGAGTCCCTGTCCAGTGTTGCACCCACAGGGACATCCTCCCTATTGCGGTAGAAAGATGCACTTGGTTGATCGCGTCAGCAGGTGAGGCTTGCTGAGAGCACATCCGTTGATCTGTCACTTCTCTGGTTTTAATTGCGCATCACATTTTTCTGCTTTATAAAATATGGATGCTGCATTCGAATGAAGGGAAATTCCATTCCGACTTTCCTCGGTGTGGAGCGTGAACAAACAATAGTCCCGAGTGGGCGGGATGGGACAGGAGCTCTCGGCATAGAAGGAGAGGGTTTGAGGCTCTGCATATTTACTTGTGCCAAACTGCCAGCTTCCTTCTGGCAAAAACAAGGAGTCCAGTGGCACTGTGAAGACTAACAGATTTATTAGGGCATAAGCTTTTGTGAGACACAGCTCACTTCCTCAGATGCTGGCAGCGAAAATCAAAGAAAGGCAGGGATACAGAGATGGGAGTGCGAATTGAATCAGAGTGGATATGGCTCATCTCCAGCAGCGATGAGAAAGTGGGAGTATGTGAGGAAAAATTACTGTGCCCTAATACATCCGTTAGGCTGTGTCTACATTGGCCGCGAGTACTTGCGCAAGAACACTAATGTTCTAATGTATAAAATCAGTGCTTCTTGTGCAAATACTCTGACGCTCCCGCTCAGGGATAAACCCTCTTGCTCAACTGTTCTTGCGCAAGAGGCCAGTGTAGACAGGCAACGCTAATTTCTTGCGCAAGAAACCCCTATGGCTAAAATGGCCTTCAGAGCTTTCTT